GTGTTTTTCTATTCAATTCTCAGAGCACGTGTAAAGTATGCAGACATATATATCTGGGAGAAGAAGTTGTCTGGCAGGTTAGGCATCATTATGATCCAATTATATCTAGAAAATATTGACATCTTCTAGACATACAAGATGCAAATCCAGTAGCCTTAGGTATCACCTATTTGAGAGAGATAGATTATTTCTATTCTATGCTAATGTGCAGTTAAGCCTGTCATGTAGACATGCCCACTGATTTCAAATCTTTACTTTGACTTGGTAATTTACATTGTTTAGTTACAGAAAGCTTTTTGAGTAATGTTTTCACCACATATAAATAATATAAATAAGCTTTGGCTACTTATATTGTACCCCTTGTTCCCTTTCCCACCAAGGCCTGTTGTGCTGTACAAGTAAGAATCCTAACCTCAGAGTTTATAATCCAAGTCAAACTGATCTGTACAAGACAGTTTGGATAGGAATGATCCTCCTTGGGCAGGTGAGTTGGGCTACATGAGCTTTGGAGGTCCCTTCCAGCCCTACTTCTTTATGATTCTGTAAGTCACGCCCAACTTTTGGAGTATTTATGGCTTTTATAGCCTAGTATTGAATCAAAGCTTTTAAAATCAAAATAATTTCTGGTCCTCTGTTACAGGGGAATCCTTGCAAATGTGAAGAATAATAAGTATCTGCAGTCAATCTGCAACACTGGCTAGAGATGATACATCTTAGTCTATGATTTCTTGGTATTTACTCTGATGATGCTTAGATAGCAGCTTTATTTTGTTAACAGACTGAAAGCTGGATGCTGAGTCAGGTTCTCGTTTCAATTACCTGGGGAAAATCTAAGTTACCTCACTTGAAATTCAGGAAGGCAAAGGGGTTTTTCTTAAATATCCTCCCCTCCCCCCATCACATTTGGATAATGTGGGGAGTTGCCTATTATAAAAGGGAAAGTTGAAGTGTTGTGTTAGAACTGAAGAGGGGGAAAAAAAGAACCTGAGCAATTTTGAAACTAATTTTTGTTCAAAAGACTGAGATAAGAGGATGTCATGTAATAAAGAGCACAGTAACTATACATTACTTAAAGCTTATGAAATTGAAGAGGTTGTCAACATTTTACAGCTTTAGCAATCAGTACAGCTATTGTAGTAATGGCCTACCTTGAATTTGTGGGGGATTACTCACTGCATCCAGACTTTTCTTTCCATGGCTTCTTCAGAAGACCAAGGTGAAAAGCCCTTTTTAGGACAATAAGGACTTGATTCAGTTTACTACTTTAGTTAGTTTTCAACCTCACTGAAAGATTAGTCAAACTGCATTATATATCAATTTAATGTAATTTATTTACAAATCAGTGCACACACATGTTAAGTGGTTTCACCACTCGTAAACTGATGCATACTGGCCAGGTAGGGAAGCACAATCCAGTACTAGGCTTCATTAATTTTTAAAATCAGATTTCACAATTCTCATGCAATTTTAATTTTAGTTGCAGTTAACACTTGAAGTCTGGAAGTGCTGCAAGTTAATCAGTGTATGAAAAAGTGAAAAGGCCAATTTATAATGGATTCCTAAAGAATCAAGCAAAGGGAGAATATTTTTTTATGTAATAAGGTAGCTTTTACAACTTGGAATATGCCTGAATTATACTTGTTGCGTTAGGTTTCCTGTACTAACCTGTGCTAAGTACAGCAATCTACTGCAATGCTAATAATATGTCGCATGTAAATGACATTGTTTTTGATTAAAAGGGGAGTAACACTGTTTCACTTACTAATCTCTAATGCCTTTTAAGTTTTTGCTTTGTTTTTTAACTAGAGATCAGTCCTGTACACGTTTAAAAGAGCCATAAGAAATAAATTAGAGACTCAGCAGTTTAAGATAAAATGTGCTTTATTAAACTAAAGAAGATTTTTTTTAAAATGGGAAAAAGATTGAGACTAGAATGCTTAATTATTTTTCCTGAATCTAGTTTACTAGTAGAGATGCATTTAAGAGTATGCTACTAAAGTCTATCATAGTAATGACAAGCTACATCATAGTTTGTAGGAATTATCTTTAAAATAAAGTCATATAATCCCTTTTAATTGATACATATTTCAGTATTTTAATAATAAACTATTTAGTAAACAAGGTCATTTAAATATATATCTAAAATTATTCTAATCCAGTTTAAAATAGTAGTGAAACCCGGTACTCCCATCTTTCATCTCTGAATCTAGATTATTTAATTACTTTAACACAGTTCTTATAGTGTAAATTAAATCCACCCACACAGTGAAAGTATTTTAGGCAATCAGTACTTAATGATATAGTTTTTACCTCTCCCCACTATACTATTAGTATAAAGAAGTAAAGAAAAATACTTATTAAAATGAATAAATGGTATTTAAATATTTATTTGTAATATATGACAAAATAGGTTAAATCTCTCCTGGAAATCCTTTCCTTGATTTTATTGGATTAGAGAATTTTTTTTTTTGAATGATCAACTGAAAAATTTACACTTTCTGTAATAGAAAATGTTTTTTTCTCTTGCCACAAAAGTATTAATGAGTAAACAATAAAATGTATGTAGTTGGAAGTGGAAATTTGACTTTATAACTAAGGAGGAATATAGGAGTATTGCATGGCTATATAAGGAAAAAATCAGAAAGGCACAAACAGGTGCAGCTAGCAAGGGATGTAAAAAGCAACATAAAAAGCATTGTATACATATGGCAAAAGAAAAAGTAAAAACAGTGTAGGTCCTTTACTAAATGCAGAGAGCAGTCTAATCATGGATGATGGGAAGAACGCCAAAGTATGTAATATCTTTTTTTTTTTGTTTTTTTTTGACTTCAGGTTTCACAAATAAGGTCAGCTTCCAGATGACAAGCACAATTGGCAGCAAAGATAGAAGACAAGATAAACCAGCCCTTGATTACTGGAAGAACAGGTTAGAGGTTATTTACAGAAATTGGGTCAACTGGGCTGGGTGAGATGCACTCTAGAGTATTAAGGGAGGTAGCTGAGGTAACTTCAGAGTCTTTGAAATTATTTTTGAGAAGTCCTACAGGTCAGATGAGGTGCTCCATTGCTGGAAAAGGGTAAATATAGTACCTATCTTCACAAAAGAGAAGGAGGAGGTTCTGAGGAAGTACAGACCAATCAGCCTATACCTGGAAAGGTTATGGAGCACATCTTCGTTAGAAATAGATTTTAAGCACCTGGAAAACAAGGCAATCAGAAACAGCTAGGATGGATTCAACAAGAGCAAATCATGCCTGACCCGCCTGATTGCTGATGACAAGGTACCAGAAGTGGGAGTGTGGGGGATGTGATGTTCCTTGATTTTTAACCAGGGCTTTTGACAGTCTCTCATACAATGTGATGATTAGTCATACAATGTGTAATTGGGAGGAGATATTAAGTGGAGTTCCCCAGTGGTCTGCCATAGGTCCGGTATTGTTTAATAGCTTTATAAATGAACTGGAGGATAGGATTGAGTGGTACTTAGCAAATTTACATAGGATACCAACCTGGGTGGGGTTCCAGACATTGGAGGTTAGTATTAGTATTAGAATGACCTTGATAAACTGGAGAAATGGTCCGAAATTAATTAAAGTCACTAAGGAAAAAATGCAAAGTCCTGTTCTTGTGATGGAAGAATTGTATACCCAAATGCAGACTAGGGAATCCTTGCTAGCCTGGTATTACTTAATTTGGAGAAGAAAAGACTGAAAGGGCACTTGATAATATTATTTGAATACTGGAAGAGCAGTTATAAAGAAGAATGGTGATAGACTATTCTCTGTGTCCACAATGGACAGAACAAGGAGCAATTATCTTAAATTGAATCAAGGGAAATTTAGGTTGGATATTAAGAAGAACTTTATTACTATAAAGGTAGTTAAGCCTCTCAACAGGCTACCTAGAAAGACTGTAGAATCTCTAACACTGGACGTTTTTAAGAGCAGGTTAGACAAACATTTTTTCTAGGATGTTTTAGGGATAATCCTGCCTGGAGCACCAGGGTGCTGGAGCGGATGACATCCTCCCTCCCTTCCACCCCCACTTTCTGTAATTCCAGATTTCAGTTAACAAAACTGTCCGATCTCTATCACCATCTGGCTTTTAAGGGTACTAACTTATTTGCGAAGACAGACATTTTATATTAAACCTAATCTATTATTCTCTATTTCTTGATGTGCTGTATTGCTGTGTACAAAAGGGAGCAGCATCAGCTGAAAGTCACAGTGACTTTTTCTAGAGTATTTACACCCAAACCGCTGTCCTTACACCTGCCTCACTGCCCTGCTTTAAAGGCGTTGTAATGCTAGGATGAGGGAGTCGGCAAGTGACTACAACGCCCACTCCTTTCACCCTAAAAAGGAGGTTGCGAAGCAGGCGACAACTAGAAGGAATCGCCGTTTGCCCTCGCTTCAGGCGCGCTGCTCTTCTCCGTGCGCTCCAGCCGCTCTCCTCCGCGCAAGCAGCGGGGTGCCGATGCGGCGTCCCGGGCCCGGCGGAAGAACGTGAAGGCCGCAGGTGACGCCGCCCTCCCCGTCCCCGGGACCCGGGGGGGCGCAGGCGCGGCCGGGGTGTCTCCGCCCCTCTGCGCGGCGGGTTCGCAGGC